TGGTCGATCCCCACTGATGGTATTTTAGATTGGAGGATGCTAGTTGGTAGATTTGTTCTTGATCAGGCATGGCCTTAGATGTTTGCTATGCCTGCATCGGCTAAATAGGCGATCACCCGCACTTTAATGCTCATAGTATGTCTTCATGATCCCGTTAAATATGAGTAGATCCATTTTTTTTAAAGGTTTAATCTATTATCTTTATTATGGCTGCCATCAATCCGGTCAAACCCCACTGTTAAAGATGATAGGTTAGGTTTGAGGGGTTGATAGGTCTGCTCGTATTGAATAGTCGATTGTTCACATGTTGTGACCCTTTTTTCTACCAGAATTGGCTCTTTTAGCCGATTTGCCTACGCCTTCACAGATATAGCATGTGTTTCAGAAACCTATCAGGGTATGGATAGTTTTGTGAATTCTTTGTCTTTAGTTTGTTGTTATCATCATAGCTGCATCGATCTGGTCGAACCTCACTATTGATAATAGCGGATTAGATTCGGAGCGTTTGTAGAATTGTTCGTATTAGACGGTTGATTTGTTTGCATGTTATGTCCTTTGTCGTTAGACTCATTGGCTCAATGCTTCATATTAGTTATATTTTGTCTAGCTGATGATTTTACTTACATCTGTGTTTTTCCCATCTAGCTGTTGGCCCATTGGATCACCGGTGTTGCCGACCACTCACCAGCGCTGCCGACCACGACTAACGTTGTTTGACCACACACTATGACCAGAGGGAGGATAACAATAGTTCATGGTCGGCATCACTAGTACGTGCTCAGCAACATTAGTTAGTGCTCGGACATCTCCGTGCTGAAGATCCAGTGGGCTAACACTGGCTGCTCCCGAAGCGGCACATTTGGAACTATCTGGGCAAAGACCGGTATGTTCCACCTTAAATTACTGATAAACTTTCTCTCTTTGTCAATTGCAGGTTAAATTAACTAGCATGCCCTCGGGAGGAATTCACAGGGTCGACTGGTCCTGCGTTGAAGCCAAGCGGATCTCTAGTCTTGCTCCGTCAAGCAGGTCCTTCCGGCTTGCTATGTGCCTCGACGCATCGACATGTTTTTGCGCCGACACAAGGGGTCAGGTCTTCCCAGTGCAAACTGACCTATGTTCACAACTAGTAATGGAACATTATGCCATTGTACATATTGACTATGTACATTTGAAACATGAGGACAGACCGCTGAGTCCGCCCCCAAGTCCTGAGGTAAGAACTCTTGGATAGGCTCTATACAAGAGGGTCCAGTGGAGGAGAGCCAGATTGTGGTATCAGTATCACCAAAGGTGCTCTCTTCTCCAAAGTTATCAAGACCTCCACTGCTTATGAGCTCCAAAAGCAATCTAAAGGACTTTGTGATAGGCGATGAGAAGGCGAAGAGTAGTACCTCTAAGAGTGCAACTGTTCACAAGCCAAACAGTGGCACTACTGTAGAAAATAGTGCTTCAAAGGAGACTGATGCAGCGCTGGAGCAGTAGCCGAAGGTGGAGAAATAGCCTGCAGCAGTCAAGAGTGACAGCAAACTGGAGCAGTAGCAGAAGGTGGAGAAACCCACCAAATCATCTAAGAGTGACCCTGGGGGTTCTGTATGGAACAGGCCCAACGCTAAGTTCAAATTTGGAGAGCGATTCCTATCAGAAACAGAGCTTGAGAAGGCAGGACCTGGGTGTGTTGCTCTTCAAGCTTGGTACATGAAAGAATGTGAAGAGAAGAGGACAACCGGGATGGTTGCTGTGTTCAAGAAACAACATTTTTGGCGTGCGGCAGACAGTGAGTTTTTCGCTGTGGGATTAGAAGACTTGTTTGACCTCTTCAAACTTGATGGATCGAATGTAGGACTTCTTTGCATGTTGTCACTGTAAGCACAATTTCATCTATTTTCTAGGCTTGTTCATTTTTAGCTAGGGATGCTCCTCATATATTTGCGTGCTAAATTGCTTTTGTATGCTTCTTTATTCCTAGATGCCTGATTGTAGAAGCTAAGGCCAAAGATGTCCTTGTTGGCATTATTGATCTAGATCTAGTGTCAATAAAGACTATGAACACTGATAGAGGCTATAGCGTGGATTATCTAGAATATTGCCTAAGGAAATATGCCAAGAAAAGTTTGTGATGTTTGCACATAACTGTGGTGGGCATTGGATTGCTGTCATCATCGCTTGAATGTGGCAGAAGGTGATATACCTCGACTCTAATAGAGGCAAGATGTCAGATTTGACTCCTATCAAATCTGTGATAGATGAGTGAGTATTGTCTAACCTACTATTGACTCATGTATTTCTTTCTTAATTATGTTAGTAGAAGTCAAAAATTTTGATAACAACTCATGTATGTGTAGGGCTTTTGGCAATTACCAACCCATGCCGAAGAAAGGGCAGAAATAATTAAAGTTGACCCATGCATTCAAAATTCCAGTAAGTAGTCTTCACTTTCAGTTGTGAAGTCATTTTGTCAATTCAATTATTAACCATGTTGTCGGGAACCTAATACCGGGGTACCCAAGGAGATGGAACTAATAACCATCGAACGTTAAAAAATCCCGAACGGACAAGAGCACCGCTGCGATTCTTGCCCGAACGACAGGAGTTTTGGTTCCGCCTCGCCCGATGCCCATCAGCCAGCTCTGCCTCCCCCGATGGCTGGGGGATGGCTCCACCTCGCCCGAGGGCTAGGGGCTAGACTCCTCCTCGCCCGAGGCCCGTTGGCCAGCTCTGCCTCCCCCGACGGCTGGGGGACGGCTCCGCCTTGCCCGAGGGCTGAGCCTCGACGGCTGGGGGATGGCTCCGCCTCGCCAAGGGCTGAGGGCTGGACTCCGCCTCGCTCGATGCCCGCCGGCTAGCTCCGCCTCCCCCGACGGCTGGGGGACGACTCCACCTCGCCCGAGGGCTGAGGGCTAGACTCCGCCTCGCTCGACCCTCGAGGGCTAGGCTCCGCCTTGCCCGACCCCTGAGGGCTGGGCTCTGCCTCGCCCGACCTCTAAAGGCTAGGTTCCGCCTCACTTGACGGACCTCACCTCACCCGATGTCCATGGATTGGCCCCGCCTATGGCAGAACCTCCTAAATTATAGGGCCCACATGCACCTGTCACTGTCCAACGACCTTTGACATCTATGCATATGTTCCCGGTAACTTAAGAAGACTGTCGGGTGTCCTCGGAGAACCCCGAATCATCCATGATTTCCGAGCAGGATCACATTACAGAGTCATTGCAATATTACAACATTTATTCAAATATCTACACCAGAGTAAATCAGTGGAAGTCTTACAATAACTTAGTTTACAAAACAGTAGTTTCAAACCTTACAACTAAGTTCGATAAATATTACAAAACATAGTAGTGGAGTGGTATTATAACATAATACAAACACACAAATAGATTGCCCTACCCAAGGGCCACGCATTTACTTATCGTCATCGCATTGAACAACAGTCATGCAGCACGGTCCAAAGCAGACCTGCTCATGAGGCTCACCTGCAACAAGGGTCAACGAACCCTGAGTACAAAAGTACTCAACAAGACTTAACCGAGATAAAAACTGAGAAGACTCAGGAATGCAAGCTCAGGGATTCAAGGTATGGCTTTAGCAATAATCAAAGTTCTTTTGCGTAAAAGCTCTTTAACAAAATTCTTTATGTCAACATTTAAAACTTCATAAGATCATATACAAAGCTGACACGATCCGTATTGAGATCATGAAACTTCGTACCCAACACTTTCTCAAACCTTACTCAAGTTCCAGTTATTAACTACGATGATGAACAGTGAGTTGAGTCTCCATAACTGAGGAGCAACGACGATTCGAACCGATTAAACCCAACTGGGGATTCTAGACCACACGACATATGCAGGTCCCCGACTTACATATATCAACCTACCCTCGGATCCTCTAAAACAAGAACGGGTCCGCGCCACCCGAGAATATAGTACTCCACCAATCCAGCCCATTGCCACGTGGGTACACGCTATTCCCGCCATCTCTCCACTCCCAGTGCGCGAGTAGCCATTCTCGTAATAGAATAGCCAAGTTAAGGCTTACCGAAGTATGCGGTAAGTACTACAAAGTCTCACCTCATGCAGTTCAACAACGGACGGTTTCTTAATCGACACAGGCGGAAAGAAGCCCGCTCACAAGACCTCCATGTCTTGTGGCTCCCCTACACCGAGTCCGCCCGGTCTAGATTTATTACTCCACATGCTCAAATTTCATGATCACATAAGTAACCAAGCGTAACCAAAGATCCATTTAAAATTGGGAAAATGGTGTTCTTACCCCTGTCCAGTAAGCTAATTGTGATTTTGTCCTTTCTTTTTCAACTTTGTGTTTTTACCCCTGTTATTTTGAACTGAACGGTCCGTTTGCCTCTACTTCTGATGTCCGTCAGATAGACATGGATTAAATGAATTAAAAAAAATTTAAATCTGAAAAACAAAGGCCAAATGACCATAGTGCCCCTTATCTTATCTCATCATCCCAAACCGAGCTCTCGCTTTCAGCGCGGTCCTCTCCCCCACGTCTTCCAGGGCGCCCATGAGCTGAGGCCGCCGCCGATGGGCCCGCCCCACGCCGCGCAGGACCCCGCGCCGTCGCCGTCTGGCGGCAGCGGCTTCGGCTCCTCCAGGCGCCTCCTCCGCTAGCTCGACCGCCGCAACGCGTCCAAGAACATCGGCTACAATGCCCCCAACTACTGCCAGTACCCGCCGTCCCCGCAGCCCGCCTCCACGCCGGGGTCCGGGCCAACCTCGCTCGTCGCCTCCGTCGCCTACTCCCTCGACCTCGTCAACAGCTTCCGCATCGACGGCAGCGGCGACGGGGGCGGGGACCTCCGCTTCCTGTGCGAAAGCCTCGGCCTCTCCGGGCCCGACGACTTCGCCATCCCGCTGGCTGACTGGGAGGCGCACAAGGCCATTCGCTCCTCCACCTCCGCTTTGAGCTCCCCCTCCTCCGCACGCCCCAACCATGACTCCCCTCAGCGGGACTAACTGCTTTGTCAGGTGGGTGCCGAGGAGCCCGCCCAGGCTGCGGACGCCGACACAGAGCTACCGGCCGCAACGGGAAGGGACGGCCCAATCGAAGCTCCGGAGCGGCTGGCGCGCCTAGATCCGCCGCCTGAGTCCACCTTTCTGGATGCGAGGAGGGCAGCTGGGGAGGGAGGAATCAAGGGCCTGCGCCCGCCGCCGGTGCTCAAGCCGCCGCCTTCGATGGCGCTGCCAGCTGTCTGCGGCGTCGGATCCACGTGGGATATCTTGCGGTCGTTCGCGCCGGATGAGAAAGAGGATGCCCCCGCGAGCAGATCTGGCCATCGTTTTGGACACTGGGATGCAGTGGAGAAGGATGACGACGAGGATGGGGCGGTATTGTTAATGTTGGACGATCTTGGGCTGGAGGAGTCGTCCGAGGGCTTCACTGATACTTCTTCGCTATCAACGACCAACGATGACGAGACCTCAAGCACCACCACAGAATCCATGTTCTATATCTCACCGAACGGGATTGTCCTGGATGAAGCAATTCAGCATTTGTCCTTTTTTTTCTCCCAATATGCAATAGGGATGGTTGCCTTCACTATTTATAGCCTGCTCTAGTTTTTTCCTGTTGCAAGCCTGAGCCCAGTCTCTTACATGCTTTTCTGCTTCTGTGTCATATTATCAGTGAGGGTGTCTTCTTTGCTGTCAAAGAAGTAAACTTATTTGATCAAGGGAGCAATGCGAAGCAGTGTATCTTTCAGCTTGAGCAGGTTCGTTTCACTATTTTTTTCTTGATAGTACGAGAGATTTAATCTATTAGTGGCAATTTCCCATCCTATCATGAATTGCATGTCCCGTGTTCTTCAACTTGAATGGCACAGTTCATGATAGGTTGAAAGGTTATTTAGGACAAGTACATCTGTACATGTGAGCCGTCTCATAGTCCATCTCATGCCCCTTGTATGCATGCTTAGGCTATTAGATTGATGACCCTCCAACTGTGTTACTATTGCAGGAAGATTCAAAGCTTTACATCTTCCTTGAACTAGTGACCCAAGGATCCCTTGCATCATTGTATCAGAAATTATGAGGGTTAAGTTTATTTCTGGAGTGTTTGAGCATCCATTTTCAGACCAATCTCTACTGGACATAGTTGGCTGTAAGGTAACATGCTTCTGGTTTCTTTCAAACTTCTGCGTATCTTTCTGTTTGAGCCATCTCAAAATTGATGTCACTAATGATAGGCAATATGTTGACCTTTCAGGAACATCGATTACTAGGGCGTGAGGCTGTTCGCAAGTCTTTGGTCCTTTGAGTATTGGATCACTGAAGTAGTATGCTGTGATTTTCCTTTGAGTAGATCAATGTTGTAGTTTTCCCTTGAGGGGCTCTGATCGGCGGATGGCGCGTCGGATTGGAGCAGTCGAGTTTGTGGGATTTCCTGTCCCTCTGGAAGGGATCAAATGCGGCGCCTACCTGGTGGACTGGGCGGAGCTCTAGTGTCAGCTAGTGCTCGTCCTGCTGGCGCCTGCCTCATCTAGGTCCCCTTTATTCAGTTCTTGCTGCGAGTTGTTAATCTACTGTACCAGGGATCCGTTTGGCCGGAGGTTTTTAGGAGATGGATGACGAGGACTACTCGTGGGTGCGGCGCACCAGGTTCTCGCAGTCCATCGTCAGGTCCAGCTCCGGCAGGGAGCAGTATGGTGCGTTCATCGAGCAGTTCAGTCGTGGCGCCGAGCTGAGGCAGAATGGGTTGGGCACAGGGTACAAGCACCCTCGCCAGAAGGGGGTCGTCGGCCTGAACTTGGACATTCCTCAGCGGCATGTGGTTCGGCCATCCAAGGAGAGCCCAGACGTGCTGGATTTCTCTTTCCACTCGGACGAGCACAGCCAGAGGCTCCAGAGAGTGTGTTCCAGCCCGGCTCCTTTCTTTATGAAGGATGCAACAGCAATAGCTGATTCATGTCATTCTCTTTTCCAGCTTGGTTAGTAAATACATGATGTAGTTTTAGTGCTTGTAGTGTTACATGAACCAACTTGTATGGCAGTTATTTTTGCTGAAAAAACATGTACTGTATGAAGGTTATCAGTGTATGCATCTACTTATATAGTTTGTTAACCGATGTTCTACATGCATTCTTATACATTGAAGATTTTTGGTCCCACACAAAAGATTATATCGAAATATTTCTTATGGAGTTACATCTGTCATCATTATGAACCTTTTGGTCCCAAAATTTTAAATATTTATCAATATTAAATATGAGTTCAAATAAATGCAAGTTGTGCCAAATATGTTTGACCAAATTTAATCAATTGTCAGCATACAATAAAAAAGTCTAATTTCAAATTAGGGTAAAATCACAATTAGGCATAACAAACAGGGGCAAAATTGAATGGGCATTCATGTCCTTTTGTATAAAGTTTAACACCGTTAGGAGTGGATGACAAAGCAGGGGCAAACTGGTGCTTCGTGAATGGCACAATAGGGGTAAATTCACAAAGTCAAAAAAATAGGGGCAAAATCACAATTTTGATACAAAACAAGGGTACAAACGCAAGAGCCCCTTTAAAATTCGCAGGTGACAGGTAATCACCTGACTTTTATCTGTCTAAGTATAGCTAAGCATAACTAGGCAATTACAAATTAAAACTCGTAACAAGGTAGATGGAGAAAAACAAGGTTGGTAATGCACCAATTAGGTTTTCACTTAACTCCTAATCACTTAATGTAGTACTGAAAAGCAAAAGCGATATAAATTTATAAAACACAAGGTAGGTGTAAATGCATCCGGGGCTTGCCTTGGTTGACAGAAAAGTCCGATTCCGGAGTCATTCCATTGATCTCAAATCCAACCTCCACAGACGGATTAACTTCCTCCACAACTTGATTAACTACCACGTGCTCACCTTCGTTCACTACACGTAGTAACAATGCCATGTTTAACATGATGCGAGATACAAAATATGATGCTCGATGATGGATGCAAAATTAACAACTTGAATACAACTTTCCTTCGCGGTACAGTTACAAGTCAACTAACTAAACCTTTTTCGTAACACTTACTTCAATTGCCAAGGATCATTACCAACTAATGACCCAAGGTCATCACTCAATCCAAAATTCAAATAAAAACCTAAGTCATTAAAGGTTACTATTTGCTTTTATGAATTAATTATTTAATTAAAAATTATGAAATAAATCAACTTGTTCTAATTGAGCTCAAAATTTTTTTAAAGGTTCATCACATAATAACTAAGTGGCAAAACAATTTTCATAATTTTTGGATAATTAATTAAACCTAGAAAAATCATGGAAACCCGTTTATTAATTAATTGAGCAATTTTTATCACATTCAAAAAGTACTGAAAAACAACATTTCATATTTTTCCTAAATAATATACATCACAGCGAGGTCACACAAAAAAATTTCATAATTCATTCACTATTCATTCTACACAAAAATAACAAAAGCATACACTATTCATTCATTTCTATAAAAGAAAATTTCCATTTTCAAATCAAACCGCCACTGACACCTTGACCCCACCTGTCATCCCCGACCTCCCACGCTAACCACGGCAACCACACGCGCTGACCGGCGATTTCTCGCCGCCGGTGAGACCAACGGCGACGGTGAGAGCACCACAACGTCCCCTACACCCCTACGCGTCGATTGGTGGAACAAACGAGACCAAACACGGCTAGGACCGAGCACGACACCGGCCATGGCGGCCACGACGGTGCGGCTGCGCAACGCCGGTGAAACAAGACCGGTAGCACTTAAACAAAATGCATGGGAAGGATCAGCAGCTCACCTCGAACACGATTGAGCAAAGAGTAGGACCGGAGGAGCAACGGAGACGAGGTTGTTGGTCACAGCGGCCACGGCGGCGCAAACAATGACGACGGCGGTGCTCCGGCGACTGCAGTGGATGAAATGATCAAGCAACAAGGCACAAAGCTTCACGGCATCAAGGCGAAGCTGAAACACTACTACGCAAGAGCAGCGGCTCACCGTAGAGCGTTGGCCACGACGGCGCTCACTCAACGGTGGTGCTGCCGGCCGTGAAGAAGAAATGCGACGAGCGGCGGTTCCCAGCGAAGTCAACCGACCAGATCTGGTTGGCTAGGTGCGCAAGGAATAGGCAGAGCTAGGACATGCTTTGCTGAGACGGTAGAGACACTACGGCGATGGCGCAAGCACGACGGAGCAGCGGCGGTGGTGACTGGAAAAACAGAGGAGAAGAGAAGAACAGCGGCGACGCCTGGGCTATAAACGTGACCAGGAAGCAAAGAGAAGGCACGCAGGGGCCTTCTCCACGCTAGCATGAAGCCAAAGATGGCCACGAGCACGCCTAGAAGAAGAAAGAAGATCGTCGGCGGTGAGGTGGCTTCCGCGGTAACTGTTCACCTTAATTACAGAATTGCCATTCGCCAAAATCTTCAAATTACTCCCAAAATTGCATGGTAACTCAAAAATCTCCAAAAATAAAAGTTGTTCAAAATTCAAAGTTCTACAACTTTGCTTTTCCAACCATCCCTAATTCGGTCTACATTTTGAAATGCAAATTTGAATTCAAAAAGGGGACATTTAAAGAATTACGCCTTTTCAAATTACTTCAAATTTTATAAAACAACTTTGAAAACTCTAAAAACCAACTTTGTACATCTTGACAAACTCTACACTTTTGCTTTTAGGCTCAACCCCAAAATTTGCTTATATTTTGAAATGGGTTTTCCGGGGTAGAATTAAACGCTGAAATTAGGGTTTTCGGAAATTCAAATTAAAACCAAGATTTTGAACTCGATTCATTCAAAATCACTATATCATAAAACAAGGTTCACACCAATCATTGCAACAAAAATTATTAAACTTCTATTAGGGAAGAATTCGAATTGTTTAAAAGATTCCCACATCATAATTCACAAAGTTTCATAGTAATTATTATTAACATTATTTCAGGTAATATATAAAACACTCCATAAAATAACATTTGCATACTATAATATAAACATGAAATACATTCACGAGTTGATGCATGATGATTATGCATAATGATGACATGATCACCTTCTTACTTACTTTTTAACATCTGGGATGTTACACCGCCTCGCCTGACAACTGCACCCCGCTCCCTCATGATGCTAGGCACAGGGTAGGACAAGACGTTTGGGTCAACCGCAGCATCAAGGACCATGCCCTGCGCTCCCATAGGAGAGTACCGCCAGGGCATGACGGGACATGCGCTTAGACCCTTCCAGGCGTAGCAGAGCCTGAATAGTGTTGCAGGCGCGTGCTCTTCGCCCTATAGTGTTGTAGGCATTGCCTTTAGTCCCCAGGTGAGGAGTCCGACACAGACATACGACAACCACTACATTCCAAGGGGGGACTCCCATCTCCTACAGTGGCAAACGAGTAGTCACCTCACCTTCCGCTCCCCACAGGGACGCAGATCGACACCCCCGCTCGACACGCCGCCCGCGAAGGCGGGATGGGACGCACCCACATGCTAAAAAGGGCCAGGGCATGGCCTACAAAGATCAGCGGACACGTCACTTCTGACACTGTCTGCCATGTTATACAGGGCAGGCACTTCGAAGGACCTTCTATACCCTTGGTATTTTCCTCTTTCTCCCATCTGTAACCCCTTCTCCCCCCCTTGGTCTATAAAAGGGAGGGCAGGGCTCCCCACTAGAGGGACCGACTTTCAATGGACAACTCACATACAGACAAACTCATAGAGAGTTCAGTTCAACTCACATACACAGCCAAGCCACCACCAGGCTCTTGGCCTCCTTTTGACCCTTCCATCAGAGACCTAGGACCAGTCCCTCTCTCGACCATTTGTACCCCCTACTACGAACCCTTTTCAGTGCTAATAACACGAGCAGCAACAGACTGGACATAGGGACATTCAGCCCGAACCAGTATAAACCTAGCGCAAAATCCGGGCCTAACACGCATAATTATAAATTTACTAGCCGGTGCTTGTTCGAAACATCGATAGTTGGCATGCCAGGTAGGGGGCTTTGTGCGTTCCAAACTAGGCCTCAGATGGTTAACCACAACATCAGCTGGGTCCCAGGTGCACACGTGAGCTTCAGGAGCCTAGATTTCATCCTCACGGAGGGGGAGAGTTGGTACGGGCACAGACCACCATCCAATCTCTCCCCTCCATCGTCCTCGACCACAAGAGGTCTGGGCACCAGTTCGGCATCTCCCTTGGACCCCAGCAGTCCGGGGAGAACCAGCATCGCCTTGCCCTTTCCAACGACGATGACGTGGCACGACCTTCTGGAGAGGGGCCCCTCTCTCCAGAGCCCCACGTATGGAGCGCCCCGATAGTGTTTCCATTCGGTCTCCACAACGTCGCGGCGACCGCTTGCCATCTCGTGGCACTACGCATGGTTCAACCTCCGATGGACAGCGAGTTTGTGGGGGTAATTGAACACGACATGGAGTCCATCCACAAACTCCTCACCCAGGAGCCAGAGTCATGCTCTAGCTCTGACTCCAGTAGGGGAGCCATCACCCTTCTTGGGAATGCTTCATGGCGGAATCCTCCGAGGGGCATGTTGAAAGCATCTCCGAGGGGGAGGCTACCCCGACACACAACCTCGATGCCAGGACCGAGGGGGAGGCAGCGGCCCCACCTCACGTAAGGATGGAGTAGCTGAGAGCATGAAAGCTGGAGATCAATGACGCCGGACAACAGCTAGTTCAGGAGTACCGCAAGATCGATGAGGAAATCAAGCATCGCGGAGACGGTGGGCACGAACGCACCACGGCCCGTGGTGTACACCAGAAGATCCTCACCGATGATGGGACCCTCCCTCACGTTGCTTGGGCAAGCCAAAACATCACCGCTGTGACGGCTTTGCTTCATGGCCTTCCAGAGGCCGCGATGTCCGAGGATCATCGGGCCCATCGAGAAATTCGCACGTTGCTTGAGCGTGCGGCGGTGCAGCAGGCGGAAAACTCATTG